CCCCTCCATCCCTCAAATTTTATCACTTGACTGCCGAAATAAACTGAAACCCTGGAGTGCAATATCTCTCACTGGCTGCAGACTAGTTAACGTCTTTATTATCAGAGTGCGTCTCTGGAGAGCGGCTAGACTGCATTACTTTCTTCAACTGCCAAAGTTTTGCCCGGAATTCTTCTTCCGTCGTGAGTCGTAAAATTCCGTTGACAAACGACAAAACGAAATCCCCAGCCATTTGAGATTGTAGGCAAGATTACCCGGGGAAAAATGGGTATCGTTACAAATTTACCGGGAGATTCTAATCGGGGATAATGTTCATGGGGGGGGGGGGGTGAGTGTATCATCCGGGTTTAGGGGGTGATTTCGTACGAATTTCGACTTTTATATCTCGATAAAAATTCGGTTTGCGTGGGAATTATTTTTCGAGTTGGAATGGGACATGTTTCATTGAAAAGCCTGCGAAATTTATGGTGAGATTAAAATAAAATAGTTCCATTATAGGGATTGATCATATTTATGAAACCTCAGTTTTCATGAATACAATCGTCTTGCGTCTAATTTTCATGAACAAGCAAAAGAGAATTGAATACCATTCTATGAAAAATGAATAAACGAATCATAATTGTCCAAATAATTCAGGTCAGAGGAAAATAGAATAATTCTACTTTCTTAATATTGCGTTTACCAAGATTTTCTTCGAACACAGTTGATTAGAACTAATAGCTAGAATTATGAGATCATTTCACATTTTTGACGTTGAGGATAGGAGAATCTGAATGCAATATAGTGAAAATGATGATCGATTTTTTTACTTTGAACAAATAATATTAATATCCAAATACAAAATTTCTGATATGAATAAAAAGAAGCTGTGACTCAATATTCCAAATGGAATTTTAATTTTTAATTTGGTGCTGAGAAATACGAGATGACAATATTCTAAGCGCGGAATTATATTGATGAGATGAACAACAGATTAATTAAATTACAATGAGAACTAACTAAAAATTGATGACAGTGTGGGGACGCACTTTTACCAGAGTATCAACAAACATTGAATTTCAAAAATTCACACTTTAAAGTGTGTTCTAGAGGGAATTTAATTGTAATTATAATTAAAATCTTATTCAGTGAGCGTAGGAATCAGAACATGAGCAAATCATGTATTGTAATATGAAAATTTAACAGCTGATAAATTGGGACGTGTGATTTTCATCGGTCGTATTGATTTTTGCATTGAGAATGTTTTCAAACAATGAATTGAAAGAAGGAATGCGAAATCTGACAGGAAAATATTGAATTTTGGGTCTAATAGCGAATTCCGGATTTGAATATCGCTGCAGGGCATGCATTATTTGACGATGAAGTGTCAGTCTGCACTAGGCCAAGGGCCTCTCAATCTCCAAAATCTACGTTATTTCTGAAGCTATATACAGATATACCGGAATTCGGTGGAGTGGAACCCGAGATATCCCGGAAAGGATCTGAGACTCCTGCGGGTGTCATTGTCACTCTGGGGTGGGCACTCAACGATGTTCGAGCACATTCGACTCCGTGCCAAGAATACTCAGGGCTAGATAGTCGTCTTCGACGACAGGTAGAACTGAGTTTAGATGGAACAAACAGAGGACTCAAATTTGTGATTGAATTTTCATCAGTTTCACTTGGGCAGTTTTTTTTTTGTTCTTTATCAAACGGATTTCGAGAGCCTGGGGATGGAGAAATTCAATTGATTACGTTGGAGAGCCCGGGGAATTTATATCTAAACTGGGGAAAAGGAGAGACATTTTGTGACGTCAGTCGCAGGTGAACGCGAGAGGAATTTTTAGGGGAAAATTTCATTCGTTAATTAGGAAAATTCCTCAATTGATTAAAAAAAACGATTTTCATGGAGTAGTTTTGAAGACGTACTTGGCGCAAGCCTTGACCGATGGTTTTTTCCAATTTGTTTTTTTCGGATTTCATTGCTTTATTTTTTTCATTTTGGAGACGAAGGGGTTTGGGGAGGAGGATGATGATTTTATTCGATAACTACGGAAATTCCTCAATTGATTAAAAAAAAATTGATTTTGATGGAAGTTTTCAAGATTTACTTGGCGTAAGTCTCGATCGACATTTCTATTTTTTCCTCAAAAACCAATCGAGTAAAATCAGTTGCTGTTTTTTTTTCATCCACTGCTTTATCTTCTGATCTACCGAATAGGGTCATTCCCCCCCTCCCTCAAGCGTGAAAAAAGACGTTTTCAATCAACTCCCACTTTTCCAGAAAATTTTCCCCCGTTTGTCTTTGTTTTGTTACCAAATCGATTTATTTCAATTTCAACTTTTCCAATTTCCATTTGGAATTGTTCTATCATCTTCCCCCACAGATAATTTCTCTCTTCTCAATCCCCTGTCGAACCTCTTTAGAATTCCCAATTTGCTTTAAAAGTTGGACTGTTCACTAAGCTTTACCCTCGACAAACAAGAAGAATCCCTTAGGGTTTTTCTTGAGTATCCTCAGTGCTTTTATCGTCATTTCAGTGAGTGATGGATCACCAGTGCCGGATGCATTGCGATCTACCTCAAAGTCCATGTGGGAATAGGCAAACAGACCTGTGGACATTCAAGAGTTGATGGTTAGAGGCATTAACCTTGACGGATGAAGGGATTTCCATTCGTTGGGTCGGGGGAAATTTACCATGAGATTGGAGAGAAAAGGACGATCTCAATTTCTCAAAGGTCTTCCGCAACTGTTTCTCTTCATCATTTTTATTCAAAAAATGTGAAAGGGTCAAACGTTCTCCAGGTCACGAGGGTCGAAAGGCCTGTGCGAGTTATTTCAAACGTCAGCCCTTTAGACCCTTGAGACCGCTTGACCCTCAGAACCCGAAATTCGCTGATGGTACAGTTCTCCCCGCGTCCCACATCGCCCCACTCTGTCAAATCTAACTTTCTAGTCTCACTCACCTAGCAAATGATCCACCCGACTAGGATCAACATCATCAAACTGCTCCTTGGAGAACACATACTTAGAATTGGGCTCCGGATGACTCTTTGTCCATTCGGTAATGAGATTTCGCCCATCCAATCGTCTTCCCTCCTTGTCAGGATCCTCAGGGTCCGGCGTGACTTTAGACACGAAGTGTCTCCTGCCGCCGCCGAGAATCACCTGCAAATTCCAAAGTCACTCGATAAATTTTCCCCCCTTTAATTAATTCCCGCGAGGGCTGAGAATGCTCTCTTCGATTCCAATAAACGAATGGAGAAGACAACGATTTAAACTTGAAGGGTACATTGAGAAAGTAATTACTAACATTTAAGTTTCTACCCGGCTCGTCTTCAACAAGTTGCTTAGCAATGTCTTTGCAACTGATTCTAGCGGCTGAAGGCACTTTTCCATCGTCCTCCCAGTATCTACTGGAGGCGTGAGCGTAGAGAGCCGCCGGAGTGGCGTGGGTCACTCGAGTTGTTGTTACTAGGCCTGTGGATTTGCCTGTAAACAGGGAGATGAATTAATTAGTTGCCGATATAACCGTAAATCCCTTGAATCAATTGATGGAAATCACGGGATGCGGGAAACCACCAATCGGATTACAAATTAACTCTGAGTATCGGAAAACCACGGAGGGCTGAGACGAACTTGGCGCGAGGATGGACCGCAGCTCTACGGAATGCGAGTCTTAGATTAACGAGTCGATCCATCTTTACGTGCATTATGAACTAACGTATCGAATTTTTTTTTCCCCAATAGTCCTAGAATTACGAGTACCGTATATTTTGAGCGATAATTGCGGTTAAGTCTTGCATAAAGTTCATCTTGAAAATTAATGAAGCTGTTCGGCTCATGTTCATCCCTTGAAAGTTCTCAAAATTCATGAAAACAACTCATATTGCCCGGTGCTAAAAAAATAAAGAATTAATTATTCCGATCAAAAGTAGCGGTCATGTCCTGCGCCAAGTTCATCTCGGAAACGAATGGACTAAGAGGCTCTTGTCATTCGCGCGTTCACAAAATTTGTTATGAAACGAACACCGTCGGGACGATATTCCTAAATCATAAATAAATTATTTTGAGTGGGATTTGCGGTCGAGTCCAGCGCCAAGTACGTCTTGCAACTCAATGGGATCTGCTTCATTTTTTCAAATTAATAGTCTATATTTCACCTTCCTAAGTACTCCACCCACCTTCTTTCATCCTCAAGAGAACCCCAGCGCGGAAACACTGAGTTTTCCCTCATTTTCCCGCACTTAATTACATAATTCATTTGTAATAATACACAGCACACGGTTTGTATAACACTGTAGCCTCGTTCATTTCCGGTCATTAAGATGAATTGCCACGGTTGATTAATAGCCCACCGTTTGCCACTGACGTATACTACCAGCCCGTTTGTATCAGATACAAACCAGTGCTATATCTATAACGGCATTTTCCTTTTTTGGGTTCTACACGCGCGTAACCGTTTGTTATGGCGTTTAATCCTCTCCATTCAATTTCTTATTTACGATCAGGCGGATGGCCACGCCCATCTCGTTCCTTCAACGCTCACCCCCATCTCTACCACCCAACCACCCACCCACCCCTTTTCGGAATAGCGTACGTACCCATTTCTCATGCGTTATATATAGGGGGGATGATAAAACTCCAGTCCAACGCTTCTTCCGGATGGCCCCTAGTGGAAATAACGCCCACCGATCGGACGTACGTTAAAGGGATATAATCCAGCTGTTTCCGAGCCATGAAGAATTTATGAACTGATTAACCATCACATAGTCGCTCTATTCTGCTTCGGTTTAAGTGGTTTATGCTATCGGGTCAATGGCTTTGTGTCACATCTATTTTGAGTGAGGTTAGGATTTTTTTTCGCGTATGAGCGGTTCACGTGATGTTCGACACCTGATTACAGGTGGTTTTTATTGTTTATATTTTGCAAGGGTGGATGATGTAGGCATTTAAACTATTTTGCACTATTCGGCATTTAGACAGATGAAAAAATAGAAAATGGTTTCTGAAAGGTACTTGGCGCTAGACAAGACCGACACGTCAAATCAAAAAATTTCTTTTGAAATTTTTTCTGGAACCGCTGGCGAGAAAGAGTTGTTTTTTAAATTTGTTGGTAAATTTTCTGATCTATTCAATGAAATATCGTTTACCCGATTAGCCCTCGTGACTTCCGAGATATTAGAATTTTATTGAAATCTTAGGTTATTCACCTCTCTCCTGCGCCCACTGCACAATAGACGGTACCCTTGCGGTTTGACTTGAGAGGCAGTTGTCGAACTTTGCTGATGAGTCTAGTCCAACGGTCTCGTAATTGGCCTTGACCCCGCAGACCAGAGCTGTTGCACACGCCGATGATTCACCGACCTGAGCGTCGTTATTGTAAGTCTGTAACAAACAAATGCACATTTTCGTGTGAAAAAAAAATTCACCCATTTTTTTTTCTTCTCGTAGAAACGTTTTTTGGTCACGTTCGCGTTGCGTCCTTGACGTTTGAAAATACTGTCTTCCACCTAGTATTATGATAATCCAGAAGGGGTTGGGGGTAAGGGGTGGGACCGGTTTTTGCTGCTTTTTTTTTATTAACAGCGTCATGCTGGGAAGTGGTGGGGGGGCGCCGCCAGGACGGAATACATAAATCTCCTTGGTTTTATGTCGATGGCAAAGTCGTGATGGCTGATGTGGTTTTCTCGTCATTCGTAAACCTTGGGACTCGCGTTTCCACGTATTTTCTCTCGCTCCTTCATCTCCCCCCCCCCCCCCC